GTATAGGGGGGTATTGGGGGGGCCCGAAGGGTAATGAGGATGTTGGGGGCGGTTTGGGGGTGGTTTGGGGGCGGTTTGGGGGGGTGTATGGGGGTATTGGGGGTATTGGGGGTATTGGAGGACGCTATGCGGGTGTTGGATGTGTTATTGGGGGTTCTGAACCCCAAAACGCAGGGTGCCGACGACCCCCGACCGGTAGGTGCCGACCAGCCGATCGGTCGGTGGGTCGGCAGCCAACCAGTCAAGGGCCGCCGACCGTCAGGGGGTGCAACAATGGCATTTGCCATAAAAAAAGGCAGGCCAAGGTTGTCCCATTTCCCTCGATTAAAAAGACAGTCGCTCAGGATTAGCCCACTCGACAGACGGCTTGAATCTCCGTATTCCAGTGCAGCCAACAGCTCTGAGTGCAAGGGCCTTTTTTTTTTATCAGGTAAGCATCATTGCTCTCTGTGCTGGCCTTCCAAACTCGGAGCTTCTTCTCGATGGTCCAAAGATAGCTAGCCACTTCTGGCATGAATGCCCAGCAGATGCACATCCTCAGTTCCGAACTAAGAACTCAAAGAGCTGTTGTCCAAAACGAGCTGGCACACACCACTACTAATCAGAACCAAAGCTTTGTCAGGATTAAGCAAAGAAGGAAAGAAACAGGAGGAGAAGGGCAGAAAGAGGCAGGGAGAACGGAGAACGGAGAAAGGAGAACGGAGAAAGGAGAACGGAGAAAGGAAAACAGAGAACAGGGAACGGAGAAGAGGGAGACAAGGGAGAAGAGGGAGAAGATGGAGAGGAGGCAGAAGAAGGAGAAGAGGGAGAAGAGGCAGAAGAGGGAGAAGAGGGAGAACGAGGGAGAAGAGGGAGAAGAGGGAGAAGAGGGAGAAGAGGGAGAAGGGGGTAAGGAGAGAGAAAGCTCGCTAGGGTAGACCATCCTGGCTCCTGCCAGCTGATTCGCTGAACTGCCAAGCACAGCACCACTTGCAGAGACCACCTGTCAAATGCAACCTGTTATCAAATGCCAAGCTGCTGAACATCACTGCATGGCCAAAACTGCAGGAATCCTCACTAACTTCTGTCCTGTGTCATGCTTTGAGAGATGGCACTTCTCTGGGAGCACTGCACTCTAAATACAAATAGTGCGCAATCAATCACGTATGTGTCCTTGACAGTCACATAATCTGTTGCACAGAATCGTAGCATAGCAGCGAGAACTAGGAACAGTGGAGCACCCATACCTCCAAACTAAGCCAAGACCATTATTTCAGATCCTACATTACCATGACAGGCATGAGCACGCCCTATCCATCCAGATTATGGAAGCATTCAGGTACTGGCCATAACGCTGCCCAATGTAGAGATTTTAAAGGGAAAAAACACATGGAAGGATGACAACCTCTCAGAACAGATGCACAGCCTCGTGCAGCAGCGCCTGAAGGAAGAATACCCAAACAACCCCATCATAGAGTGGCTCCCGGCAAATCCCGACTTTCTGGCTCCAAACCACGATTCCAGGGTAGCGTGCCTGGAAGTGAAATCTGGGGCGCCGCCGAAATTCCCCGAGGTATGGATCTTCAGAAGAAGGACGGAGCGCATCACGGTGTTCATATCCTCTAAATCCAATCCATTCTGCTTCAAGTGCAGAGCAAGGGGACACTTGGGAATGCA